GTTTAATGATGGATGGTCTTTCTTCACAAAAATGGCTTCTTTTACTCCTCTCTCAAACCAACGTTCCTCTCTATCAAGAATGAGAACATCCTCATCTCTGAAAGAGTGACCGCTGGCCTGTAAATGAGTGAAAACTGCAGAGTTCTGGCCATTAGATGTAGMTCGTCTGTGTTGGGACATTCTTTTGAACAGTGGCTGCTTTGTTTCCCCGATGTATAACTGGTCGCTGTCCTGCTGGCACTTAACAGCATACACAACATTGCTCTGTTTGTGCCGGGGCACCGGATCTTTGGGGTGAACCAGCCTTTGCCGTAATGTGTTTTGGGGTTTGAAAGCCACTGGGACATCATGTTTAGAAAATRAACGTCTCAGTTTCTCCGAAACACCCGCAACATACGGAACTCAGGTAAACATAACTCTGCAGTTTTCACTCATTTACAGGCCAGCGGTCACTCTTTCAGAGATGAGGATGTTCTCATTCTTGATAGAGAGGAACGTTGGTTTGAGAGAGGAGTAAAAGARGCCATTTTTGTGAAGAAAGACCGTCCATCATTAAACAGAGGTGGAGGCCTCCGTTTTCAGTTGTCCCCCTCCTACAGTGCTGCTATTGCCAGTATCACTCCACCCCCTGTTAACAATAGGTGTTAATTAGGTGTCAACGATAGCCATGTGATGTATCAGTCACATGGAGGCAGTGCTTAAAAGCCTGAATTTTGCCTGAAACTCTCAGACTGAAGAAGTCTCTTGGAGGAGAGACGAAACGTTTCATTARAGAAGAACCCGTCCAGAAGACCTATACTATTTTTTTCTTTTTGGTTTTTTTAGTTCTAGTAGTATATTTTTCCATATACAGGTGATAAATGCAACATATTCCCAGCTGATAGTTTATCTGCTTAACTCAACCCCCCAGCTGTCAGTGGCAGTGATRACTCGAGCTGAGGTTTTGTTGTATCTCAGATGGAAACTCGTTGGACTTCGGTCATCATGCAGGCGACACATCAGCTCCCTGTGAGCTTCACGGCCACTTCTCTTTCCATGTCTCTCTGCAGGAAAAAGAAGTGAGCATTTAAATGTGACATTTGAGGACATTGTGTACATTTATTTACCTGCATTGTTCTGCGCTTCTCTTCCTTTTGTTTACTTCCCTAATATTTACCTGAAGCTGCAGCTGAAAGTCACGTGGAGAAGGCATGCGGGAGGGAAAAGGAAGTTCATCAGTATGGGGGGGATAGAGCTTGAGAGTGCATGAATACAGATGAGTTTATGTTAATCTTTCAAACATAAAGTAAAAAGTTAATTTCTCAGACATCTTTTAGATCTTTTTTCTCTGCCTTGTGAAAAAACACTGGTTAGGTTAGGGTTAGCATCCAGCCATATTTATCGTATTTTTAAGCACTTTTTTTAAAAACCAGGGCTAAAAATTAGCAAACAAATCAATCTACAATCAGTAATCCAACTCAATCCAATCAGATTACACAAGTATTGCAATTTCTCTGTTTCAAAGTTGTTTGTTTGCATATTTTCTAAAGAAAAAGTTGAGATTCTCRTGTCAAACTGCAGCTGATCGAAGCATCCAGCAGTCTGACTTGTGTTTTATTTCTGCTATATGACGTAGCTTACAGAGTTTTRTTGTGATTATGTACTTTCTTATTATAGTAAGAAACTACCAAGATGTGAAAAAAACACACCATAATAAGAAACCTTCATATTTATCAAAGTGCTCTTGTTTCTGCTCATCAGAACCAGAGATTTGGCACTTATTTCTGAACATACACAAGATTTTTGGTTCTGAAAGCCAATAAAAGGTCAAAGCAGATGTTTTATTTGTTGTTAGCATATATAACAAAGTTAATACTAATAAAAAAACTCTCAAAATGAGTGTTTTTCAAATTTAAGAGTCAATTTAAATTAACATAAAGGCAGGAAGGTGTGTATTCCCAGCATATGTTGAAAATAAAGTCATTAAATATACGGCACACAAGGAACTTTTATCAACTCTAGGTGCAGTGAGGTTTATCTGTGCAGTTTGTCTGTTGGACTCATAATGCCACTTCATTAAGTGTTAACACCAGTTGYACTAAAATAAACGTGCAGCTATGAGATTGCATTTTGTTGAACATTTTTATGGTTTATCGTTATTCTAATGTAAACTGTTACAACTGCTGTTGCCTTTATTCTCTCTTCTCTATATGTTTATTGTAATTATTTCTATCAATGACATGCTTTTTCTTTGTCTCTTTTCCAGAAGAAGGTGCACCTGGACCAGTCCTGGACCAGTTCTTTTGTGTTTCTGTCTCTTTCCTGTCCTTCAACCAGCCGGTYGAGGCAGATGGTCTCCTGTCCTGAGCCTGGTTCTGCTGGAGCTTTCTTCCTGATTAGCAGGGAGTTTTTCCTCTCCACCGTTTGCTCAGGATGGGAGACTGTGATGAAGTGATTCAACACAATCTGCTGGTTTCTTCTTTACATTGTTCTTTTTTATGTACAGTGCCCTGAGACAACGTATGTTGTGACTTGGCGCTATATAAATAAACTGAACTGAATTGAATTGAATGTGAGTGAGAGAGTGAATGGTTGTTTGTCTCGTTTGTCTCTATGTGTGGCCCTGTGATGGACTTGCGACCTGTCCAGGGTGTACCCCGCCCCTCGCACTGTGACTGCTGGATATGGGCACCAGTGACCCACGCGACCCTGAAAAGGAAGAAGCGTGTACAGAAAATGGATGGATGGATAGTCCAACACTGATTCCTCACAGAACTGTTGAACCTGACAGGAAAGTAAATCCTCTAAAAACAGATTTTTCACTGATACAAAAGGTGAACTAAGTTTTTTCCAATGCAGAAACAGAAGTGAGGACACATCGTTCCYGCAAATAAGAACAAGCTGATGGAAAAACAGAAGTATTGTTAAATTGACAAAAAACGTTTGAGAACCACTAAACCAGAGTGTCAAACTCAGCTAGGAGACCAAAATGTAAAACTTGGTTTAAGCCAGTGGTCGAATGTTGCAACAAATTACTCTTAGCAATGCATATAGTTTCCCAAGTTTTACTGTATGTAGAAGTGAGAACATAAAGAATAAAGACTACATTTAGAAAGACGTTTTTTAGCCTTAATTTCTTTTGTTTAGCTATAATTTTTTTTGATTTATTGTACCTGAGTTATGATTTATCACAATCCAGCAAATCAGCTTTGAAAAGATATTCCTCAATAAAAATCCAATTATGGGACTTTAAAATAAGAAGAGAAGACTGAAAAGAAAAAGCCAATTTTATCTTTCCACATCAAAAAATTACTGAAAAAAATAAACCTTTTTTTGTTGAAAGTTGGCCAATGCGCTAAACACAGTAAAAGAGAAACTATAAAACTATTTTATTTTTAACGTATTACCGATGGGRCTGATTTTTTTTTTACAAGGACCAGATTCGGCCCGCAGGCCTTGATTTTGACAAATGTGCTCTAAACTGACCTGAAGTTTTACAAAGTGACCCCACCTTGTAGCTCTAGAAAAGGARCAACACCCCACCCTGAAATCAGCATCTGTACCTGCTGGGACCAGGCTTTGCTCACCACAAGGAGCAYAACAAAATAACATATAATTACCTAATTTCCCTCTGGGATCAATAAAGTATTTTTGAATTTGAATTGAATTGAATTGAACTGATTCCTGTGAGGGAAATTAATTCATTTGATATATTTTTTAAGTTTTCTGTTTTGAGTTGTTTTTCATTAAATGTTTTTGGGCACGCCTGCWGGTAACCCTCCACTGTTTGGACTCATATAAACACAAGGGTGATGTTGCAGGTATTTCTGAATTTAGATGTTTAGTTTCATTTATCTTTGTGTTTGTTTATAGTCCATTTTGTCTTCACATATTTTTTCTGCTGGGATAAACTCTCACATGTTCTTTGTTTGGTCTTTTTGAAGAAAGATATAATGCAGACTTCAGATAATCTTTCCAAAACTATTATCAGACAGATTTGTAATTTTTTTGTACATTTGCACTCTTTTTTTGTATTTGTGATATTTTGATTTCTATATTCTTATAATTGTCCTGTTGTTTTATTCTTGTGTTTTGTTTGATATTTTTGTACAGCATTTAAGTCAGCTGCCATGGTGTTTAAGTGCTTTAGAAATAAAGTTATGTGGTATTTGCAAACTATTTCCAATGAACTCAGAAAGTATTATTATGTAAACAACTTAGATCTGTCAGAACTTATGTCACTAATTTATATAATTTCCTATCTTTATCACTAAATTTAGCCTGTTTTCCTGCTGATTTGTGTATTTTTTGTGATGACGAAGCAGAAGTCTTTTTTTCAACTTTGACAGCAAAACAAAGTTTGTACATCCTGCCACACCTAAAGGCCAGGAACATCTCTAAATAAACCTGATATGTGAGTCCAGTTCAGCTGCTGGACAAATAAAGAAACTCTGTTGAACCTGTTGAACTGTTTGCTCTCGTTCTTGTTTGCATTTGGGAGCTTTGCGATGCGTCTTCTCTGGGATTTTTATTCTCTTAAAAATGGTTCAGCATTTTCTCTCAAGCAGAAAAACGTTTATTAAAATCTCTGTAAAACATATATATTATTTAACAT